CGTGGCCTCTGTCGTCGTCGGATTTTTTTTGTTTTGTGCTCTGTGCTGCTGTGATGGAGCCAAAGCCGCAGCCGTGATATTTTTCAGCTGATAATTTCCTTCCCCAGAGCAACAGACATCATCATGCCCAACAAACAGAGGACATTTAGAAACCAACACCCTCCGGAGGAACAACCCGCCGGAAGAACCCTCCCGACAATTGTTACGGCGGTACCCCGCGAGCATTGTTTCAGGTGCTTTCATGCCAAGGCATGCGGGTCGCCCCGGTGGTCTAGTTGGTAGCCTCGTAACCTTCTAGAGGTCAGGTCAGGGGTTCGAAACCTGCGTAGGCGAACTTTTCTTGCAAAGTGAGTTTTTCTCTCGCTTCCGCTCCTGGCCAAGTGGATAGCGCTAGTTCGTGTGTACACAGAGGGAAGAGAGTGCTGAACTCTTCTCGCATTAAAAATTGAAGGCGAAGTACCGCAGGAGGAGAGGGTAGAGAGAGGGTCTTCTGTGTGACCATGGGTTGGAATCAACGGCACTAGTGCTGTGAACGCTGATTTGAAGTGAAGAACAAAAAAAAAACAAAAAAAACAAAAAAAACAAATCCAGCGGATACATCTGTATCTATCTTTGTAGACGTTCACATTCATTCCTCTCCTGGAGGATATCATCATTGTCCAGTAACCGGATACATCTGCATCTATCTTTGTAGACGTTCACATTCATTCCTCTCCTGGAGGATATCATCATTGTCCAGTAACCTCTGGAAGAACTTGGACACCCTCCACCTTCCGGAGGAATGCAAGTCAGATACCTCAGGAGGAATATTTTCGGGCTTTTTCCTCAAGAGGAAATTGGACTATTAGACTATTGCAACGCCTCGACGAAGCAATAATGGCTTCCTCCGAGGGGAAATCGTAATCCAGTCAACTCCAGCGGATTCAAATTTTAGATTCCCCCTGGAGGATTGTTAAGTGTTGCCCTCCGAGGAACTGTTCGACATTTTTCCTCTAGAGCAACCCGTTCTTGATGTAATGCTCTGGAGGATGCCGAATCTGCTCCCTCTGACGAAATCGTGCTTTCAAATCCTCGGAGGACACCGATTGCCTACCCTCCGAGGAATGCGTGAGATATGGACCCCCCAGAGTAACGTTTCTCAGGCAATGGTCTGGAGGATGCTGTATATCGTTCCCTCGGGAGGATTTTTTTTTATATATCCTCGGAAGGGGCCGATTGTCTTCCCTCAGAGCTTTGTTTGGATTTTTCCCTCGGAGTGTATCGTGCACAAATCCTCTAGAGGGTTAAATATCCTCCAGAGGATTTCGAACACTCTAGAGGATTATTTTTCCTCAGAGGAATATGGGTGGGTAGCCATTTGTCTACCTGTGCGTCGGTCACTCGGAATAAATTCCAGAGTGATCCTGGGAGACGGTGGCAAAATTCAACCGGATGAACTATACAAGTAGAGGTATAGACAAATATGCTCCGGCTCCCTTGCAACCTGAGAGGCCAGAACCGGAGCGCTGAGAGCGCAGCGGTGGGACTAGGTCCTTCACTGGAGGCAAAACGTTGGCGTCGATTCTTCGGCTGGCCCGTGCGGGACGTCCGATGCGTGCCTTCTCTTCACGGTGTCCCCCGGAAAAGTCTTTCCACCGCCGCCCGCCCGTCGCGGGGCCGGGCGATCGCGCGCAAGGCAATTCTGGTGCTTCTAAACACTAGATGCTCAGCTTCGACAGGAGCACGAAACCGGCTAAAAACTCAACGCTATCCCCATCCCTAATCCCAAACCCACCCGATAGATGCTAGGTTGGCGCTGGGTGGCTCAAGTTCTAAATAGGTTGATGTGCCAGGATTGGCGCTAGGTTGATGTTGACGGGGAAAACTCTAGGTTTTTACTGCTTGGATAGGTGCTAGATTGGCGTTGATGGGATAAATCTATTAGGTTGGTACAAGGGTGCTGCGCCCGGCCCCCTTGGGGGGGCCGGGTTGCGCGTACGACCCTCAGAGTTAGTAAAATGCAAAGTGGTATGTCATTTTTGTAGATGAACGGCAAATGTTCTGCGTTTTCTTTGCAGGCGACTTTTTTTCCGTCTTGGGTGTGGATGGGGCCAAACAAAAACTGCAGCCAGCCGCCGGAAGCACGCACGCATGTACCCTGCCGCCGTTTTGGTTTTATGGTGTGATTTCTTTCCACAGCCTGCAGCAACAGCGAAGACAAAGGCCTCCCCCCGTAGCTCTGTATATGGTACCTCCCGTGTGACCGTCGTTTAAATACGGCGAGAGCCTAGCAGCAGCAGCAGTATGTAGACGTCTGCTCCAAAAAGGTATTGCTTCTTGGCACGGGTGCCGGCTTCGGTTTTTCGCCGATTTATCTCCACTAACTGAAGCAACAGTAATGATAGAGCTACCCGACCGCAGCTGTGTGTCTGGTACCTTTCGTGCGATCGTCGTTTTAGACGGCGAAGCACTTGGAGTCTCGGAAAAAGAGTTGACAAGGGTAGACGCTTGGTCGAAAAAATGACGTGCACAGCTTTTCGCCTTCCAGCGCTCCGTCTCGCGGCGATACCTCCCCAGCGAAGGAAGCAACAGCAATGGCAAAGCAACCACCCCGTAGCTATGTGTGTGGTTGCTTTGGTGTTGTGCTTGTTAGATGCAGGAAAGTGCTGGGATGCTCAGAAGCTGAGTTGGTAACATTCTAGAGTTGTGATGTGATGACGAGCGATGAATGGTGCTGTCCGTTTGTCCGTTTTGTCGAACTGCGTCATGACGTCATACAGAACCCCCGAGAGAACCCAGAGAAACAAAAAATGCTTTTCTATTTCCGGAACAATATGCCGGCGGTCCAGCGCCTGCTCCGTGCCCGCTACATTCTTCCCTTGCGGGAGCCGAAAAAGCGACACAAAACAGTTGAAACGTGCATGCCTAAAAACATCGTATGCACCCCAGAGCAGTACGTGTGAACCAGCAAAAGCAAATCCTATTTATTTATATTGTGTGGATTGGTGCTAGGTTGGTCCTGACGTGGGTACAGTAGGTCTAGGTGCTAGGTTGGTGGGCCTTGGAGTAGGCCTAGGTCGCTCTTGGGTGGGAAACGGTGGTCGTGCAGGAATGTATAGGCGGGACTGCCAAGTTGTGGGTGCATGGCTTATGTGCGTACACATGGGTGCACCGCATATTTTTCTTGTGTTGTATCATTAACCAGTTTGCGCAGAACGAAATTTCGCTGATAACGACCAGTTCGGGGTATTAAAAGTTCCTCCGAAACAAAATTGGCGAATATTTGTCGCTATATGTGGCCAGCTTGGAAATTTGCACACAAAGTTTGCTTGGGTAGCGAACAGACAACGACCACCTCGAACAGACACTCCACACATCCGAGGCCAGCTATCACAGACAGCGGGGACTGAGCCAATACGACCTTCGCCGTGGGCATGGTCATGCACCAAATGTCCCTCGAGCGATATGTTATTGTTGCGTCCAACAACACAAGCACGAAGTACACAACTGCTGAGAGAGAAAGTGATCAGCAGCTTGCCAATCACACACGCAAGACACATAAAGCAACGTACACTTCCAAGCACAAACCGTGTGACGGTCGCATCCTCCACGACCTTGCCATGGATGCGGATCAAGAGAACCTCTGAGGGCGTGAAGGTCCACTGTGCATTCTGATGATGGTTGCCCGGGATCGGTTCAGGTTGCTTGAGCTGTGCTGCTGTCTGCCTGTTGCTGTTGCTGTGGTGCTCTCTTGCTACAAATTCAAGTTCTTCATGTCAACGGTTTTCTGGTTCCTGGTTCCGCCGTGGAAGTTCGCGGTACAGAGAACGTGGCGGGTAAGTCGTGTGCCTACCCCACCACATCTATCTGTCACGCTATCTATCATGTGCCTGCTGCACATCTGTCTATCTGTCACGCCATCTCTCTACGCTGTGCTGGTACTCTGCGGCGTCGATATGCTCATCCCCAGGCGAGATGTATGTGCATACAGTTCGATGACTCTTTTGCCGATGTGGGGGTATGCGTCCGTAGGCCGAAAAAGTGAATTTCAATCTGAGCACGACGGAAAGAATCCGTATGTTTTTTTACAATTGACTGACATCGGTATGCCAAAATTCGGTTCCTGCGCAAAAGTGGTATTTAGTAGGAGTATTATCAACAGTATTATTTTTGCTCACCATTTCGATTTCTAGAGGTGTACCCCGTTTTGGGGTGTGGTTGGCTCGTGACTGTTGACCACGGAACGCGTCCGCGTCAGTTGGACCAATACTGATCTTAGCACTTGCTGAGCGGAGACCGGAACGATTTTTTTAACGTGAATTCAACCACCACAATAACGATAACTTGAAGAGTGCACGGTGGATCGCAGTGTCTCATCTTCAAAAACCCAGCAAACGCTTGAGTATCTCAGTTTTCCAAAGTCTGACTCCAGTACGAAACTTCCATCGCGTAACCGTCCGCTCACCTCCCGTCGTGTACATTGGTAGTATCTGAGATTGTAGCCCTTGCAGCTTACCGGTCCGCGATTTTCCGAACGATCCTTCTATCATCAAGATTGGTGAGCTACAAGCAGGATTTTTGATGCTGCTGTGTGGTCCGATTTTGAAATGCTTCAAGCACTTTTGCTTGTGGCTAGCCCTACATATACATGACCCCAGGCATTCAAATCGACTATGGCGACGAGTAGGACGTGTGAGGGAAGAGCTGCGTTGAAGTTCGCGGCCCCATACACTCACAATAGGCGCTGATTCGCCAGTACTGTGTGCTTGAAGCTTGGCAGATTTGACTAGTTGATGGTGGACTAGATTATGCAGAGGTGGTTGGAAAACGGAATCAGCGATTTCACATTTTTTGAACTGGTGACGCCTGGGGTTCATCGAACTGCATTGCTTTGGAGCGCGGCTGTTCTTTTTTTTTCTGCGTAACAATTACGTTAATTGTTCTGAGTCCTCCACTTAGTTCTGTTCCTCTTGTTCCGCGTCAAGTTTTCACGGCAAGGCCTCGTTTTCCCTTGTTCGCAGGCCTGCTTGGAGAGCTAAATCCTTGTGATGGCTTCAACGGGTGACGACCTAGACACAAGTTCTCCAAATTCGTGAGTCCGCGCCCTGCTGATTTTGTGAACATTGAATTTGAGCGCAACCGAGCCGCTGTGATCGTTGTTCACCATTGTGGTACCCTCTGGCGTCGTCATGACTCCTCCACCAGCACGTAGGGGGCGTCACGACCCACGGCCGCGCAATAAATACCAAGGCTGTGTGCATGAGGGACGAACGGATGGACTATTACTATCGACCAGTGAAGACACTTGTAGCATTTCGATGTCTTTGCTGCTTCGGAACGCGTTTCTATTGCGGGGTGATTTTTGTTTCACGCTTCTTTGTGAGAGGCACGTAGGAAGCTCGTCGGCAAACTACTGCTTATGCCCGTAGCTCGCCAGGCTTCCGTGGCCGCGGGGGGTTGATCCCTGGAGTTGTGTGAACTGGCTGTGCGTCCCGGAGACGTGTTGTACACAAAACACAGCTCGGCGAACCAAATGTCGAAAACCAAATGTCGGAAACCACCCCAAGTTGGCCCACCGTGTGCCATAACCCACCGGACATCACACAGTCCACACGCAGTGTCGCCAAAGGAACGTTGTCGCGCGTCCTTCTGAGCGGCATGCAGGAATGACCATGCGGGCCCATGGCCAGGCCAGGTACTGAACCCGCACGGGCGATTTCGAGATTTTTCGCCTCAGGACCACCGGCACACGGCCAACCATGATAAAACGCGTGCAGCATGTGATCTTGGGTCACCGTTGGGATGCCCGTATGATACGTTCTTGGTTTCCGGTGTGTTCCTTCAGTAGACTGCCCATTGTCCTCAGTTGGTGTACTGGTGATCCCTTCTATGACTCTGTGCCATAACATACAGCTCCGGCTGCAAAAAAAGGAGAGACTCATATTTTACCCGCTGCCCGGATGCTACGTTTTTCCCTGCGACAGCGTTCGGCAAGAACTGTTGCGTCCGCACTCCTCAAAAGTGGCACCACTAGACGCCTGCGGGATTTTGGACGAAGACCCAGAATCCCCTGGGGAGTGGGATAAGGAGGGCCTTTGCAACGGCGACAAGGTGATAAAAAGGGGGAGAACGTTACGGTATGCGCTCGCGGTATGGAAGTTGTTGGTTTGTTTCGATACTTGGACATCGCAGGAAAACACCAATGGGCGCCGCAGAAATCGATGTGTTGTGTTCGCTGCGATTGATACTTCGTGCGAATGGTTATCCGAGACAAAACTATTTTTGGTTTCACTACATGTATTTTATTGCAGAGTATCTAATCCAATCCGCCCGCTAGTTTAATGTCTGTCATGAGTCAACACGCCCGTCCAGGCCCTTGTCTTGGCGCTGCTGGGACCATATGAAATCAAGTGATGGCTCTGGCCTAACGCAGTACTGTTGGTGTTAAACACAACACCCGGGTGACTGCTCGCGAGGATCGCGGATGATTTGCTCGAAAGATTGCGTGGATCGTGTGTTGATGTGGGTGCCTGTGTTGCCGCACGCCGAGAGGACCCAAAGTCAATTTGTAGGAGCTTTTGCCATATGTAGGGCGTTTCGAGTATATCATCGCACTCTCATGCCCCGTTTTTTGTGGTATCTGAGGACAAGGGCTTGGAATTTGCTAAGGTGGTTTGCCGCTGCCAAGGTTGGTACCCTTTCACTTCAAGTCTTCTTTCGCGAATTGGGATTCACTTAACCCTTACGTGACTGGATTATAGATTGAATTTTTGTGTTTTTTCCCCACAACTAGCTCTCTGCGGTCAAAGATCTTCCAGGCATGCGTGTACACCCATAAATCACGGCGGCAAGGATGGTGCAGCAGGGGGTCCATGTGTGGGGCTCACAGGGATGGGGGCGCGGTGTATGTAAGGGTGACGAACAGGACTACTGCTGTACAGCAGTAGCAGCTGTGCGGACCGAAATAGGCTGTACAGCAGCCTGTACAGCAGCAGTAGTTTCTGAGCAGGTGTGCGTGCCTGTCTCCGACATCAACCGTCCGCACAGAGGATGTACCTGTGCAAGCAATACCTGTTGGCACATCTTCTCCACCTGATCCTTGGACAGAGCATACGGCAAGCGCATATGCTAGCGGCGCTAGATTTGAAGACGGTGAAGGGAAACCGCCTCACAGAGGCGCCAGATCGCCGAAAAAAACGGCCCGCTCATCAGAGAATCGAGACCATCATCCACTATCGCACAAAATGCATCAAAAATCGTGATGAATTTTACGATTCTATACTACAAATAGAGAACTGTGATCAGAGCTGTGATCGGAGCTGTAGTCCCGAAAACCCTTGCTTTTGAGCGAAATTTTGCACACAGCAGACGAGCCACCCTTCACTCCCAATACTGGGAACCACACGCACCGCAATCACAACAACATCAAGCACCGAGGCAGTACGTTAGCATCGGCTCCGGTGTGCGCTTTCTCTGCTCTCCCCCGCGGATGCGGCACCGGGTTGATAACATGTTCAGGGTGCTGTATGTACCCTCCGGTGGTATTTTGCGTTTGAATCTTACAGTACCCGTAGGTAGTAGATTGGATCTGGAAAGGATATCTTCCCCACGTCAGAGAGATTAGGCATGGGTGAATAGCATTGTACTATGTGAGTCCTGTGCGCATTGCTGATAAACCTGCTTTTGGGGTGGGCTGCCTGTGTCTCCCTGCTGGTCTCTTATGTATGTTTTTTGCTCATAGCCGAGGCACCACGGCGATCGTTCGGCACGCAAAGTGATCGGAGCTGAGAACGGAGCTGAATCGGCCTGTAGCACGTAGGGGTTAAAACCGTTTTATCGGGAGCCCTAGACTGTGATTTGGAGCCAGCATTTCGGTGTTGCCAGGTCTGGTCTTTATCCAAGTAATTCACATAGAGGTCACAGACAAAATACGGCTGGTCGCTTTTTATTTTGCTGGCCGGTAGAGTGTCGGGTGTACTTTGTGGGCAGAGGAGGTAGCTTCCGAGAACCGCATGACAAGAGCTAGGCTTACATGCATCTGCTCCTGTGGCAATTTTGTGGGTGACACATCATGCTTCACCCGTATCTATATCGATATGCATGCAAGGTCCCTCTGAGAGAAGTTACCTCCTGCCAGTGCTTCCAGGGAGGTGATCGCAAGAGTCATAAATGGACACGATACAGCAGAGGTATGATACAAGGAACTACCAATGTGCCGTTGCCGCAGCTAATATTTGGGGATTCTTGACGCGCCTAATATAAACGGCTAGAGATTTTGTGATGCGACAGACAGTTCACATGTTTGTTCACGTGTTTTTCGATGGAGCGGAGCGGTTTCAATCGCTCTGCTCCTGTCCGGGAGATTTTCCAACAAAAAAGAACGCTCTGCTCCGCTCCGTGCCATGACCAAAAATCCGCCCCGCTTCGTGAGGTTTCCCAACAACCCGTACAAGCGTTTTTTTAGTGCGACCTGAGCTCCGTCACCTAATCGCCGGCAATAACCGCGAAATCCGCGGTAATATCGGCAATTCAGCGTCGTCTTTTCCACGGAGCCACGGTTTGCACGATGCTTGTCCGACACAAGACATGATGTGCGTGCACGGGCGTACGCATACACACACACACCTTTGCATTGACAATTGACACCACTAGTTGCCAATCAGAGATTATTTTTTTCGTTTCTGGGGTTCGTGTACGATCATCTTTGGCAGGCAATGACGCCCCACCCGTGTCGAGATGGTTGTGTTCCCCACATGTCGAGTACGATTTTTCTCCGGAGATCGAACAGTTGGACCGTATGCCATATGAGTTAGGAAAACTGCTTGCAGCTCATATGGCTAATGCTGCATCTGTCCGAGCTGCTCATGCGGGAGAGCAAAGTGGTTGTCGAGTTCGAATAGGTCGAGGAGGTATCGATCTGGGCAATGGTCCCTTCACTTGACAACAACTAACTGATCAATGAACAGCATTATCGTTCATTTTGACTGTTCTGGCAGCGAGACCGCGTACGGTCTGACGGGCGTCCTCCACGCGCAGCCCCCACCGTGCAGGCACTCCGTCAAATGGCACGGATACCCGAAACTTTTTTTGCTCACGGTGCATCGTCAACTCCACGGTTTCGCGTGGTTCAAGCTTCGGAGGAAATTTGACCGCTCCGTAACAAAAACGCGCTACGGATTAACTGCTCCGCACATAAATCCTGGGACAGAATCTGAGACTGATCTTCTTTACGCTCACGTTGTCAACCCTGCAGCGCGCCGAACACCTATCTACATATCACTTGAAAGTGTCGGGTGAGCTGTTCGGGACCCGTGGGCAGCAATGAAGGTCTGTGAGCGCATTCCGCGAGCGATTGAAAATTGGGCAAAACTGTGTGAAGCTTTCCACGTTCACTAGAGTAGGCGCCGGCACTTACGAACCGCACATGTTGCGTCAGGCGCGATACATTTTGACTGCCTCAAACCGAGCACCTGTTCTTATTCTCAAACTTGATAATTCGAGCAGGCATTCGCCTATGATACACGGAGTTCTTGTTCTAACTATCGACGCCGACGGCCCCATGCGGATGGCACCGGTTTTTACTCTGGGTGGATACAGAGAGCAGCGTGTTAATAAAAACCAACGGATAAAACGGCGTTCAACAGAGACCTCTGGCTCTAGGACCGCAGCTTGCGCGATCACCGTAGGTTCAATGTACAGACGCGGCATCGCCTCGGTGGAGCAACATTGCACCGTTTACACGTCCACAACGGTCACGTCCGTGTTCAATGCATGTAGCTACACTATTTTGATGGCTGGACCTCCCCCCAGTTCTGCTGATGGTAGAACCTCCCGCCTGCCCTACGGTGCTTCAAGCAAGCCCACGACCCTGCCATCGCATCCGGGTCTCCACTGCACTTTCCCAACGGCAGCTTCATGCTGCGCGTACTTTGGTCTAGCTTCGAAATGGGCACGGTAGTCTTATAGGTGGCGGGTACGTGATCAGCCCCCCAAACCAACCCATGCTCAGCTTCACGAGTACGCCACGCTGCAATAACGCATTGTCAGAGCAGCGGGTGTAGACTTGAATGCGAAAGCCATCCGGAATCTCCATGCCTTGGATCTCACCATCCGGGTCGACGCTTTCATCTTTGTCCGCAAGACTCAGGTCTTCGTTCTGGCCGCGGGCCAAGGACGGGCAATGCAAATCACAGCAAGAAGTGAAACCATCGTAACAGAACAATTTTCATGAATAATCAGAATCTGTGGAAGCAATAGTAAGGTTACAACAACGACAATTCCGGGAAGTGCAAGACTCTGGGGAACGTCCAACTCGCCACGATCGTCTTCGTCGCTGGAATCGCCGTCCTCTATGCCCTCCCCGCTGTTGCCCTCTTCGCCCGAATCCCTCTGGTCGTCTCCGCCCCGCACCCGTCGTCGCCAGTCTCTGCAGCTCCGTCGTCGTCTCTGGAGTCCTCATCGCCCGTGGAGGTATACGGCGTGTCCAAACCCTATTAGTTTATGCAGTCATTGCCTGAACCGTCCACAGTCGTCGCCACGCCACATTTTTCGGAAGCTCGAAACCGGTGTTCCTCGTGGCTGAATTGGCGTTGCTGCCCCAAAACCCATTGCGCGATCAGCACACGCCAGTTGGACGCCTTCAACGCGTTGTTTTCCACCTTTGGATGTTATCCCACTGCTCAAGTCCAATGTCCTGTTACTTCGCAACCTCAACCGTCGTCATGCGTCCGGCTTCTACATCCAGGTGGTGTAGCTCGTCCGTGGCGTTGGCCGAAAGAAACCAGGCGAGCATGTTGCAGTGCTTCGACAGATATTCCTTAGATTCATCCGTTGTCTGCGCGTGCAAGTTGTCCATGAGAAAAACTATCCTCTCCTGACAGAGCTGGGTCCTCCCGCGCATCAAGCTCTGGCGGTAGGACTTGAGGGCCCACTCCATGCAGAAGTTCTGGTCCGCCCACGAGTTCTGGAAAATCACGTCCGCGTTCTTGTGGTACGCGGCCTTCTCCACCCGCGAGATCCGCTTCCCCGTGCCTCGGAAAGTGACCGAAATCCGCACGAGCCTCTTCGTTACGCAGATCAATGATGGCTTGCTTTTTACCTCCAGACCAGCA